TCTCTCTCTCTCTATATATATATATAATTAACAATAAAAAAATTTAAAATGAAAGAACAAGTTACATGTATATGACAAACATTTTACATAATATAAACAATTATACACAAGAGGCGGCTGTATACAAGTACACATTTATATAACGTTAAAGTTAGTAAAACCTTTACAAACTTTCACCGTTTTAATAGCTTGTTGTGTTATAGAAAGTCGTATAGTAACTTATCAATATAATGCTCCATTTCCTTCCTAAAACTTACATTTGTGAATATGAAATTTTGCATGTAAAAAAAAACCGTATCATGTAAACGTGAGTCTGCTTTTCTTTGCTGTTCTCTTAAGATACCAAATAATACACATTTCCATAACTAAAATGATTGTCAATATTTTGTACAATAAAATCACAGACATTCTGCCAAAATTGGTTTACAAAAGGGGAATGCCAAAACAAATGTAGCACAGTTTCAGGGCAACTGACACAAAAGGAGCAACTAAAATTCATATCAGATTTAATTATGTTAGCCTATATAATGAGTTCGTATTAAATATCACTGATACGTGTCGTTATTTTTATTTATTTATTTATTTGCATTTCTTTGTGAGCTACTGTATTTTAAAATGCATCATTTTTTAAAAGTTTAAAGGTTTTAAAGTAAAATCCTAGAAAGATGAAGTCGACATAGTGTCCATAAGGTGGAGCCAAAACACAACTAAATATTATAGTGTACAAAATTTTATTTGTACACAAGCTTATTTCCGCCACACGCTTTGGTAAATCATAATTTTGATATAAAAAGACTTATGACTTAGAAAAGTCGAAATTATACGATACTAGTTCATAAAAAAAATATGAAACAAGTCGAAATTATGAGGGAAAAGTTAGCCTATGGGTCAAAACCTTTTGTAATTTTTTTGTCATAACTTTGACTTATTATGTAACGATTTTCATTAGTTTGTCATTTTGACTTTTTCCCACAAACATGACATAGTATCTCATAATTTAGACTTTTATGCCATATTTATGATTTACTAAAGCATGATTTTTTTTTCTTATGTGGTGAAAATGGGCTTGCATGTTATTTTTGATAAGTCTTGTGTGAATGTACATGATAATCATAAATTACATAAATTAATTACAACACAATTCCAAAGCAACTTTCATAGATTTATATAAAACAAAATAAAATAAAAATATATAATAAAATGAACTAAATGGTATTTAGGTGTAAACTGCATTTTAGAAAATTTTATAAATACCTGCCTTGCAGAATGTTTTGTTAATTTAATATTTTCTGTTAATATGATGCATATTTGGAGGCATACAGTAAATCACTTCAAATGTAACAAAATGCCAAGCCAATGACATTTATTTATATTTCTGTCAGGACCACTATCGTCAAAGATGATTGACAATTAGCATGCAGTTTGGATGCAGTCACGTCACGTCACGTCACGTCACAATTAGCATGCAGTTTGGATTGGCGGTATGGTTCCGTTCTGGGCAAGAACTCCCTGCGCCTCCATGCAGCCTAGCATGGATGAGAGCAGGGAGAGCAGCGATAACCCCCCCCCCCCAACATAAATGTATTGCAGATATCGTTAAAGTTCAATAATGTTATGTACACATTTTAGAATTAGTCTGATTCAAGGAGAATCAGAAGGCTGAATCCTGACTGACAGAGGAGGAGCTGGGGATGGAGAAGGGTAATTAGCTATTGAGCAATGTGAAAACTGCTGATACTACTGCGGGACCTTATATATGAATGCTTAGATAGGTGTCGTATTCCCATAGGTTGATGGGGATCAGCTGAGAGTCAGCTGATTCGAGCTTGACTAACGTGACCTGCCAGAACTGACGCTACGCTAGATTAAAGACAACACAAGCACACTTTTAAAACAAAACATAACACATAACACAAACATAAGTTGACATGGTTTAATATGATTAACTGGAAACCCTAAAACTCGACTGGAAAATCCAGACTGTAGCTGTATTTCTGAACACAGTAGCTGGTCTTAGATGCTTATTAGCTTGTTAACTAATCCAGAAACCTGTTTGACCACCTTATGATTGGATGCCTAGCTGGTAGCAGCATATTTTTAGTTGTTGCAAAGCACTTTTTAAATGTCAAAATGTGCTTTCTAAGGCCACTGTACTGTACATACTGTACTGTAATGAGAGCGAGGGTAACAAGAAAGCCATTCAGAGGATGTACTGGTGTTGTGTGTTTGAGTGGTCTCTTCCGGCCTGCTTCTCTCTCACTGCAGAGGCCTTTTGTCTTGAATGTGATCCTCTGGGATTGTGGGTCACCACGCCTGAACACCCTGATGGTCATATAGCGTGAGGAACACAGAGAGGAAGGAGGAGGTCGCAGGCTGTGTGTATTTGAATGTACGTGTGTGTGAAGAATGCGTTTGGGAAAGGACTGCCTTTGATATAAAGAGTAACTAAACTCAAATTGTCACGCTATGATGCTGTTCCTCATGCAGACTGCAGACGGTTTCTTGTCAAGGCATGTTTTATTATGCCTACCAATTTAATGTTCATTAGGTGTTCAAGTGCACATGGACCAGCATTTAAACAATGATCCACCGTACAGTCCACCACAAACTCAACTGCAAAGTAGATAAATCATAGATTCATGTTCAATTATATGGAAATAAACAATAATATATGGACTTCAAAAGACATGCATACTTTGAATTTTCTTAATTTGAGGGCTTTTCACACCGTATGTTTAGTTATATATTTTGAAGTTAAGCTTTTTTTACTTTTATTGGACAGGACAGTAGGAGAAGAGAGAAAAACAACTCTTAAAATCTTATTTAATTTGTTTTGAATGAATGAATGAATGATTGAATTAGGGCTGTCAAAATAAAAGTTTGTGTTTACATAATATATGTGTGTGTACTGTGTATATTTATTATGTATATATAAATACACACACATACATGTGTATACGACAGTGTGTTCCAGTTCCTGCCAATATCCAGCAACTTCGCACAGCCATTGAAGAGGAGTGGACCAACATTCCACAGGCCACAATCAACAACCTGATCAACTCTATGCGAAGGAGATGTGTTGCACTGCGTGAGGCAAATGGTGGTCACACCAGATACTGACTGGTTTTCGGACCCCCCCCGGACCCCCCAATACAGTAAAACTGCACATTTTAGAGTGGCCTTTTATTGTGGCCAGCTTAAGGCACACCTGTGCAATAATCATGCTGTCTAATTAGCATCTTGATATGCCACACCTGTGAGGTGGATGGATTATCTCGGCAAAGGAGAAGTGCTCACTAACACAGATTTAGACAGATTTGTGAACAATATTTGAGAGAAATAGGCCTTTTGTGTACATAGAAAAAGTCTTACATTTGAGTTCAGCTCATGACAAATGGAGGCAAAAACAAGTGTTGCGTTTATAATTTTGTTCAGTGTATATATGAAGAACTCTTTTTTTTTTTTTAAATCATGTTTTTTATTGTTATCATGTTTTTGTTGTGTTTTATTGTGTTAGTTAGCTATATTTTTTTTGTATTTTTTAACCTAATCAAAATAACCCAACACACTCACACATAACACATTCATTTGAATGTGTATACATTTCATTGTATTCCACTCATTTAGGTATAGCTGATGACAACACAAAGATGTTTGAGACCAATTAATATGCAAATAGCAAGTACACAAAACCCCAAAAGTATTATTATTTTCAATCTAAAACAACTGAATGTAAAACAATTCTTAAACTTTAAAAGAATTTGACGAATATGAAAGTTACTATGATTGACTATGATGAAGTTTTTGTTTATCTGGAGGCAAATGTCATTGTGTCCCTGTGTTTGTGTTGTATTTCTCTCTCCAGACATGTTAACCCAGCTTAGCCTGGTTTGGTTGGAGGTCAGTCTGAGAGCACTAAACAAACCGCTACAGTAATCTGAGACAGATCCAAGAGCAAAGGCTGCATTCACAAACAGTGGAGATGATGAATGAGCGGGAGCTTACACTCAATCAGAGCGCCGACCGGATAAGGAAAAACACTTCCTGTTTGTCAACACATTCCAGGACTAATATCTCTCCTGCTGCTGAGGGACGCAAGACAACACTGATCTAGAACCAGCTTCCTCTTTGAAAATACCACTGCTTATCAACATCATCAGGCCAGTATGCTAGAGTAAAGATCAAGTACTAGTAGGTCACATGTTTGTCCTAAGACTGATATATTGATTTGTTTTTCTCATATTCACATACATTTTTGAGTGACGTTTTTCAGTGTAATGCAAACAAACTTTTTATAAAATCAAAATATTGCTTTTATATTATTAGAATTAAAAAAATTAAGGACTATTCGGCCTCAATAGATTATTAGACTCATTAGAACTTTTTGCTTCTTAAACTCAAAACTCAACACACACACACACACACACACACACACACACACACACACACACACACACACACACACACACACACAGCTACATATACAGTAAATAAAAAAAACATATACATACACTCAGAAAAAAAGGTACCGCCCCAGTGACAACTTTTGTACCTTTTTTTCTGAGTGTATGTATATGTTTTTTTTATTTACTGTATATGTAGCTTTATTTGTTATCCAAGGCAACATTTCTAATTTTCTAAGTTTTTATATTCGATTTTTTTGCTTTAATTTTAATTAACATATATTATTTTATTCACAAAAATTATTGTAATAATAACATATAACAACACAGACAGCAATTACATTTTCAAAAATAAAAAATGTGACTTAAATTACTGTGACTTAATAAATTATTACTATTCAGCTATTTAAAAAGAAACAAAAAGAGTTACTATTAAGCAGAATAATGACCCAAATATAGTTATATCAAAGCCGAAAAGAAAAACACCACAGTGGTCAGCTGTACAAAATCAGCTGTACAAAATTTAAATTAAATACTGCAAAACTCAGAAAGGTTAAGCAAACATGTTTTTGTTCTCAGTTGATTTAAATTTCATACCGTTACACAGCACAAAGCATTTCTTTCGGTAGCTTCTCATTCAAACATCACACATTCTATGATAAAGTGCTTTACTGTTTTACTTCTCTGGCTGTCTATGGCACTCAGCACAGAACAGCTCAATACTACACTCCCTAGGTCATAGTACGCTGGGAAATCTCCTGTTCTGTGCCGTTTCGTGTTTGCATGAAATCTCAGGTTCTCAGATTGTGACTATGTTCAGAATAGCACACTTCTCACTTACTGTTTTCTGCAATATACAGTATGTATACTGTGCAAAAGTTTGCATGGAATACCTGGATGACCTGCATTTGCCAAAATTTGCAGTATACGACCGCTGCACCCACAATGCATTGTGCTTGACCTTCTGTTTCCAGAGAGACGAAGTAATACTAGGTGCATTTTAATATATTCACAAATGTTAAAATATATTTGTATTCATATTTCATATACATTTTTACACAAACCTGAATTTAAAAAAAAATCCTTAATTTTTGTTGTTGTTGGCATGATGAGTTCATTTGACAATTTAACCATTTAGCTTTGCAAACTGTCACATACTAGTTTTAAATAAGCAGTGCAGAGTGTATACTGTGCAGTATGCTAGTATTCCATTCTGAACATAGCCTCTTAGTAGCACCTGATGAACTTGCAATGCCCTCTGGGAGATGTAGGCACTAGGGTAGTGCATGTGTGGACACCTGATAGAATGAGGCTGTTGTGTGTTCGAGAGCCCCATTACTGATCTCTTCTGCTGTACAGCGCCTCTCTGAGGCAGGAAGGAGATTGTCAGCTCTCAGGTAAGTGCATCTCTGTAGAAAGACCCTTTAAAGCCAAGATAGCATGCAGCAGTATTTCAAAAGGTCACAAACACCGTTTTGACATTTTGTTACAGAACATACATTCTGCGGCTTGCAAATTCTAAATTATTATCTGAAAACTGAGGGGTGAAATCACTTTAGCACACAGCTAGCAGATTTCACCGCTGCACAGAGAATCCAGTTAATTCAGGTTCTACATGAGCTGGTTGGACATTGTGCCATGCACATTCAAAGTAAGTCCTTGTTATTATTTTCTGGGCAAACATAGCTTCTTTCTACAGAATGTGCCAGATTGACTGTGGCATGTGGTCGGCACACTTATCGTAGCCATTTATTGCCATCTATGGAAAGCAGGTAAACTGGATTTTATTTAAAAGGGATTTGAAAGGCAGTTATTTCATCAAATGATGATGGAGATCATTAAAATCGGGTTTCTATCCAGAGATGAAGCATTTTCTCCTGATTCAGATGAATGGATTGCTGTGGTGAAGCGATGCTGCAAAATCTTTAGGCTTAAATGTAGGATTTATGTCTTTTAAGTGCATTAAAATTTCCATTCGTTTAGTTTACAGAGTTTTAACATAAACTAATAAATGTAATGTGATGCATATTTGTCAGAGATTAATAAACATAAAGAGAAACAAAAAATCATTGCATGGTTTATTATGAATTATTTGCATTTATTTGATTTTATTTAAATAAGTATATTATTAAAATGCATTTATTCAAATTGTTTATTGCAAAACCTATTACATTATTCAGTTAAAATGTATGGTTAAAAAGGTTAAAATATGGCTACTTTTGGAACAAGCAATAATTCAGTTAGTTCAAATGTATGAGACTAAAAGAAATTGGATTTATTGATGATAAATATATAAACCTGGTTATTATGTCTTTAAAACTGTCAGTTTATTCGTGCTATTACAACTTATGATTCTTTTATGTACGACTGACAAATGTGCATCCCAAATCAAGTTAAAATTGTAATCCAAATAAATGGACATTTTATATGCAATTCAAATATATAAATCTCTAATTTAGACCTTCAGTTACAGTTAGGGATGTACAATATATCGGTTCCATATTAGGTATCGGCCGATATTGATTTTTTTTTTATTAATCAATACTGGATATTTATTTGTGCAGCTAATTTTCTGCATTTTTACATTTAATTTTCTTAAACACTTAAGCTTCTGTAAAAATACTAATAATTTGATATCACTGTTAAATGTAATCATTTTTCATACTGTACATTATGAATGTTGTGACACCTAAAATTCACTTGTAGCATTTAAAATTACTAAATTCAGTTTTTAGCGTTTTATTTTTAACGTATTGTTACAAAATATTATAGAATTTTAATATTTATATCCATTTATCGGTTATCGGTTATAACATACGATTATAATTAGACAACAATTATCGCTTTTCATTATCGGCCAGAATTTTATTTTTGTTGCATCCCAATGTACAGTCCCAGCAAAGTATTACAAATTGAGGTCACGGCCATTCACACGGGACACAGTCTGGATGCATCTTAAAAATGCAGCTCTCGTGGAGCGAATCTCTGAAAATACACCGAAATATGAAGCAATGGCGAGGACAACACTTAAAAAAATAGCGAAGACGGACTGCAAAAATACGTTCTAAATGAACGGCCCTAAGGTTTGCTGCAAACCGTTGCAAGCAAAATTGCTTATTGCGAACATTTTTGTGGTGCTACTGGATTTCCGTGAACAAAGCATTGCGTGAAAACTGACGCCATCAGAGGGCGCTGTTCATTCTGAATGAATTCACCCTGAATGTTTCCTAGGGCTCAGGCTCAATCGTAAGGGATTGTGTCTACCAAAGCATTCATGTATAATGTGATTGTTGGTTATTCTGTGTCAGTGTTCATGATTTAGTTGAGCGTTCGCTTAAGTCAGATCTCAGTGTTAAGCTGGTTACACATTCGTGGGGCTAAATAGGATATGACAAAGGCCACTGGAAAATCTCATCTACCCACTTACACACAGAGGTGTAGTGTTGTGATGTTTCCACTGTTGACTTTCCACGGGATGAGGAAAATCGGCCAATCCTGCCAGCCTTTCAGAGCTGTGACCATCAAGTTTGTTTATGGTGTTCATTTACAGACAGTCCCAATCAAATTTACAGACAGTCCCACCCAATCAAATCAAACTTCTTGTTGGATGTTTGAGGCCACAGAAAGAGCCGTGATTGTTGGGTTTCTTGCATCTTCTCTTGAAAACAGCCAATCGCGTGGCGGCACGGGCTGCCCCACACATAAACAGGACACTTGAGTGTTCACTCGAATGACTGAGATTCAGGTCTTGCTGCTTTGTGTGACGGGCACTTTAACTCCTTTCTGTCCTGTAGCTATTAAAAGACAGAGAAAGAGAAGATATTTAATGATGAACAGCAGGCAAATTAAAGTCTTCAGTATTTAGCAGACAACTAAAGCAAGACTTCGACAGGCTGAGAACCAGCTTTCAAAATTTACTCAGTATAAAGGAATTTTAACACTAACATAGGCAGAAGCAGAAATGTTTGAATAAATCCATCAGAAAAAAAGTTTAATGACAGTCAACTTTATGTGTTTATGGTTTTCAAAAACAAATTGGCATAAAAAACTTAGTTACATTAAAGTTATTATAAAACTATCTAGAATGTAACTATTTAAATGCTGTTACTAACATTTACCATTTTAAATATTAAAGTTTACAGCATTAAGATTTTTATTTTTTTTTCATTTTAATTTTTACAGCTTTAATTGTGGCTCATCCAGTCAGACGTATTTTGGATCTTTTGTTTATAAATTGTTCCTAATGTGAAGCAGCTTTGCACAGACCTGTCATTCATTTGTTATGAATAATCATATTTTTTGGTTTGTGTTCATCAAGCTGCACATAAAAAAAAAAAAAACATTTTATTATGTATCTTTTTTGTATTAGATGATTAAAAATAGTAGGGTTGGGTTTTTGACAAATTTCACGATTCGATTTGATTCTCATTCACAAGCTTGCGATTCGATTCGATTTAGATTATTTTGGATATATATCAGGTACAGTACATGCCAAATTTTCTCAAGGCATATTAAAAGTACCAAAGCACAATACTTATTGCCATATATTGGATGGGAAGTGCCCTTCAACGTTCCGTCCATTAACTGAAAACAGGCTAGTCTAATCGATTCTCGGGATTTAAGAATCGATATCGTTCCGTAAAACTGGGAATTGGTTAATATCGAAATATCGATATTTTTTACCCAGCCCTAAAAATAGGTTATGGTTATCTAGCATATGAAGTAAAATGCAGCTGAATATACCTTAACTCAAAACTGCATACTTATTTATATCAATTATTTTTTTGTACACACTACCATTCAAAAGTTTGTAGTCGGTAAGATTTTTTAATGTTTTTGAAGGAAGCCCCTTATGTTCACCAAGTCTGTATGTATTATTTAATTATTGTTCCACATTAAAATAACTTAAATAACAAAAAATATTTTAAAATGTAATTTATTCCTTTGATGGCAAAGCTGAATTTTCAGCCACTACAAACCTTTTTTGTTTTTTAATCAATGCTGAAGTTGTGTTGCTTAATATTTTTGTGTAAACTGTGATACATACATTTTTTCTGGTTTCTTTGATTAATAGAAAGTTCAAAAGAACAGCATTTATTTAAAAATAGAAATCTCTGGCAGCATTATAAATGTATTTACTGTTACTTTTGAAAAAAATAAACAAATAAATACCGAAGTGTTTTTTAATAGTAAGATTTTGAATGTTGTCTTAAAGAATTCTCTTCTGCTCACCAAGCCTGCATTTATTTGATCCAAAATACAGCAAAAACAGTAAAATTTTGAAATATTTTGAAATATTACAATGTCTATCTGTGTTCTCACCAACCAAACCCACTGAACTCTTAAGTCAAAATGAAAACATGTAGTGAGAAAACAGCCTAAGCCACAAGTTTCTTTTAAGAAGTACGAAACTCACCCAGTCTGTACTTCTCCTTCGCTTCAGCACGCTCTTTTGCATCAAAGTACCAAACAGTGATGGCATAGCTGTGGGAAGAGAAAAATTCATTCAATCAGACACTCTGATGACCGTGTATTGATCTGATTAACTCAAGGCAGAGGTTTAGGAACTGTGATATGGAGTCTGAGTCATGTGGATCATTATTAGGATAAAGCACAGAAAGGGTTAACGCTAGTAAAGTGACTAGTTTGTTTATTCCTGGCTCTCTCCTACCGGCACGAGCGCACAAACTGAAGCGAGCACAAACCACTTGCAAGCAGGAAGCACGCACTTCCTGCGTCCCACCTCGCCCCCCAGCTGCGATGGGGGCTGATACACCATGACCCCCAACCTAAATGTAGAATGTAATGTAAAACGTAAACGGCAAGAGCTTCTTTTGATTGTTTTACTAGAAAAGGATGGGCTAAAAATACAGCGTTTAATTTGTTTCATCAAACTCATTTAAACACAGAGCGTCTTCCTGAGGAAGAGCAACGGCAGGTGCGGTGGTTAAAGAGCAGGATCAAATCAAACCGTAGTGTTTGTAGCGGTGTGAGAACAATGGCAGTGGACGAGGTCAGACGAGTGCACATGTGTGTGTGTGTTTGGATAGATCACAGTCCATGAGATGAGAGGTTGCGAGAACTGTAGGACTGCGGTTTCTACCACATGACATTTTACAGCCTAAAATAACTTTTCCCTTTCATAAAAAGGTCAAATTATCTGATATTTTAAGAGACTTATTGACCTGGACACACAGTCATGGGTCCTCTCTATGATATAATTTTTCTGTTTTCTGGTTTTTCTACAAGTTTCTGCATTTGGTCACACCACATGACTGAGATCTGACAGAATGCTTGTAATACAGTTCCATTCGTCACACCCAAATAAAAACTGCAGTGCTTTACAACTACAGAACAAGAAGAGCTAAATAAACTTATCACTGCATCTAAGCCAACAACATGTTTATTAGATCCTGTACCCACTAAATTACTGAAAGAGTTGTTACTGTACCTGTAGCAGAAGAACCACTTCTCAATATTATTAACTCGTCGTTATCTCTAGGTCACGTCCCAAAACCATTCAAGCTGGCGGTTATTAAGCCTCTTATTAAGAAACCACAACTAGATCCTGGTGAAATGGCAAATTACAGACCCATTTCAAATCTTCTGTTTATGTCTAAAATTTTAGAAAAAGTTGTGTCTGCTCAATTGTGCTCCTTCCTGCAAAAAAATGATATCTATGAAGAATTTCAGTCAGGTTTCAGGCCCCATCATAGCACAGAAACTGCACTTGGTAAAATTACAAATGACTTGCTTCTTGCATCAGACCAAGGCTCAATCTCATTGCTAGTTTTACTAGATCGAATGCAAAACTATACAGGTATTCAAGGGCAGGCTTTAAGATGGTTTAGATCCTACCTGTCCGATCGCTACCACTTTGTTTATTTAAATAGGGAATCATCTCAATTATCGGCAGTAAAGTATGGAGTGCCGCAAGGATCTGTCCTATGCCCTCTGCTATTTTCAGTATACATGTTGCCCCTTGGTAATATTATTAGAAAATACAGGATTAGTTTCCATTGTTATGCTGATGATACTCAACTATATATTTCTACAAGACCACGTGAAACTTCTATATTATCTAAGCTAAGAGAGTGTTAAAAATGTAAAGATTGGATGACCAATAATTTTCTCCTATTAAATTCAGATAAGATTGGTTGTTATATTAGACAGCAACTTGTGTTTTGAAAATCATATTTCTCATGTTACAAAACCAACATTTTTTCATCTTAGAAACATTGCCAAGCTATGGAACATGTTACCTGTTTCTGATGCAGAAAAGCTAGTTCATGCATTCAAGACATCTAGACTGGACTATTGTAATACACTGCTAGGTGGTTGTCCTGCATCCTCAATAAACAAGCTAAGGGTAGTCCAAAATGCAGCGGCTAGAGTCTTAACCGGGTCAAGAAAATATGATCATATTACCCCAATTTTACAGTCTGCACTGGCTACCTATTAAGTTCCGTATCAGTTACAAAATATTACTTACTTGTAAGGCCCTAAGTGGTTTAGCTACCTAACCAGTCTTCTATCTCGCTACAATCCATCACGCTCCTTAAGGTCGCAAAACTCTGGACTTTTGGTAGTACCTAGGATAGCAAAGTCCACTAAAGGAGGTAGAGCTTTTTCGCATTTGGCTCCCAAACTCTGGAATAGCCTTCCTGATAACGTTCGGGGTTCAGACACACTCTCTCTGTTTAAATCTAGATTAAAGACACATCTTTTTAGCCAAGCATTCACATAATGTCTCTCGTAACTTTGTACTTCAGCTATATCTGATACAATGCACATTTTCATTCTTTTGCTTGGGTTGAACACATCATCTTTGCTTGGTTGGAACAGTAGCTACGCTAATTTAGTCTCTATCTGCTTCTCTGTTTCTGCCACGGGACTTGCATCCCGAGGCAACTAGGAATTACACAAGCTTCAGCCTGGATCCAACCCTTACGAAGACCTGAGATGACTGAACACCTGAGAAGAGATGATGCCAACACCCCAGAAGACCTCAGATGATGCTAACCCTGGAACAACATATAAAACTAACACATTTTGCTTAATCGCAATATTTAATCGCAATCGCAAAGTTTAATCGCAACATATAATCATTGCAGTTAATAGTGTTCACCGTCTGATTGATTACATGTACTTTGTAACTAACTGCATGATTCTTACTGTACATTTCTGCCATAGTCACCACTAATAACCTACTCCTAAATATAATGTAGAAACTTAATATTTTCTGTAAAGCTGCTTTGCAATGATTGGTATCGGAAAAAGTGCTATACAAATAAACTTGAATTGATAATGCTTAAAAAAATAAAAATAATAATAAAGGATTATGCAGAGTTTTTATTATTAGGAATTACATTATTTTAATAAAGCTTTTTTCATTATGATATAAGGATAGTTGTACCACCCTGATATTATTACTCAATTCTCCAAAATAAAAAAACAATCATTCAAATAAATCATAAATTAAAAATATGATAATCACAGAAGAGATGACTAAAACCATTATTAATCATTTTAAGTATAACTATTAGATTAAAAACTTAAAACTTAAATGATTGGCAACTAACTGAAAAAAGTACTAAAGTACTTACTAAAACTAAAACTGAAATAAAAATTAATTAAACTAAATAGAAATAATAACATACAGATGGATATAGACAGGCAGAAAGACAGTTGTACCACCCTGAAATATTTTACTTAATCCCTCAAAATATGAATTTTAAATCATAAATAAATAAAAATGTGGTAATCACAGAAGAGGTGTGTTCAAGTCATTGTACCAGTGTTGTTATCATTAACTAAAACGAAAACCATTATTTGTCATTTTTATATATAAATATTAGATGAAACACTTAAAACGTAAATGAAAATTGGCAACGAACTGAAAAAAAAAACTAGTACTAAAGTACTAAAATTACTAAAAATAAAAATAAAATAAAAATAAATTAAACTAAATAGAAATATTAAAATGTAGATGGATATAGATAGACAGAAAGACAGTTGCACCAACACCTGACATTTTTTACTTAATTCCCTAAAAATATTCATTTTAATTCATAAATTAAAAATATGATAATCACAGAAGAGGTCTGTTCAAGACATTGTACCAGTGCTGTTACTGTTAACTAAAACTAACTAAACTAAAACTAAACCCATTCTTAATCTTTTTGAAATTGTAAAATAAATAAAAACTTAAATGATAAAAAATGGCAACTAACTAAAAAAGTTTAAGTACTAAAAATATTAAAACTGAAGACAAAATAATTAAATAAACCTATTAAAAATACCCCCCAAAATACAAGCACATTACAAAATTACTAAAACAGACTAAAATTTAAATGAAAACTGGAAATATATAAAATAAAAGTTCATTCTTTTATTCGTTCATAATATTAATACATATATTTAATATATTTAAATATAAAATGTATTAATAAATACAGTGCATAAATAATACTTGATTAACAATGCGTTGTACGTATGAATTGCATTTTAGAATTGCATTTGGCTCTTTGTGAGTGACTGTGTAACTGTGAACAGTGTGTGTCCTCACCGAGTGGCAAAAGCTGGTTTCACCTCATGTGGGTTCCGGCGATCTGACCAGAAAATGAGCAGACGGTCAAACAGAGGCTCGATGTTGGCTGCAACATTACGACCCTCGGGGAAGATCTGCAATAAACCTCCATGAACCTGGATAAACAGATCAAAACCAAATAGCAGAAATGGATTAGAGAAGACTCCCCTCCTGACTAATCAGGTAACAGTAAGAGTAAACGCAGGGCCACAGCATACCTTCGCATCCCAGTTCTTGTTCAGATAGTAGATGCAGGTTATGCAGCGTCCGTCGCCGTTAGGATTGTCCACATGTCGCATGTATCCTGTTCCGTTTCCAGGGTAACACGCAACCATGGCCTGATCGTACAGAAGAGAGGGGGTTAAAGAAACGTAAGGTTTTAGGATGATTAACAATTAAATAAAGACATTTTGTGACATTGCTAACCGCTACAGGAACACCTACTCACATTTAAAGTAATAACTGTACCAAAACAGGGGTTTTAAACTAAGCAAAAAGGTTTTAAGTATAGTAAATTTAAGTATCGACCTGGTACCGAAGTTCAGGACTGTTTGACAACACTAGGTGCTTCATTATTTTAGTCTTCTGGCCCTTTAAGAGATTTACCACTCACTTTGGTGTCAGAATGATTAGGGCCCTATGATTTCCGCGATGCGGAAAACGCGAACGGAATCGCGGAATCCAGTCATAAAAATGGAATTTACTGTATAAAGCGGAATGTCACGGAATTTGTAGTAAGTCATTACACTTAAATCAAATTGTACTTAAATCGACTAGTATCTGTAAATGAAGAGTTCATTTGCAAAAACCGATAACTTTTTTTCAGAAATCACGTTTTTTTATTTCGCATTACAATTAATATCAATCAAACTGCAGTTGGGTTGTTTTGATTAAGTAATAATAACTTAAACAAGTATAGGTAATTTACAAAATTAAAGTTCATTGAAAGTATGTTTTTTTTTTTTTTTTTACATATTAAAAGTTTGTTTTATAGCAAAAGCAGATAACTCCAACAGTCGTTTTTTGGCAAAAGCAGATAACTCCACATTTAATGTTTTAGAGTTAAAAAAAAACACTCGTTTAATCTTTGTAATCTCCTCAGATGACAGTGTAGATGCCTGACGAACGTTGTTGTTGTGGTCATAAACTGTGTGGATGTGATTACACGCAATACACGGAGCTTTTCCCTCACCATTGTAACGCGCTGCTTTTGCAAGCTTCCGTGAAAACGTTTCAGCTTTTATTTTCCTTTTTCGCCCTGAAGAAGATATCACAGGTTCATCAAGTTCGTCGAAATGATCCATCCTCGATCACTTTTAGTCAGCTTTGACGAAACTCCTCTCAGCTAGCACGTCTTTTCAAAGTGAAAGTAGCCTTGTCACCTGACCTGAATACAGCACGCTGATTCGCTAAAATGGACTTATCGGCTTCTGTTCAAAAACAACAAGGGCGCTTGTCTGCTTCTGCAGTAAAACGTGAACTCGTGAATCGCGATGCCTTGAAAGTGGACAAAACCGGCTTTTTTGACAAAACGTGTTTAGGGTTCAGATCGCGCATGTTTTTGAAAGTGGCGTTTATCGGTTTTTGCAAATATACTCTTCAAATATTAAGCCTCAAAAAAGACTATTTAAATATAAATCCTGCATGTTCTGCGTGTGTCTCTGTGTAAAAATGAATGGCACAGACGCGTGATTTTGTTTACTACACACACACTGAAGCGCGTGTGACGCTCGCGGTGACTTCAGCGTCTGTCGTCTCACTAAATGAGGACATAAATACATGAACAACATCTCCTAATCTGCACTGAGAGTCACTTCATCTCATTTGAGTAAAAAATACTGTCATATAGACACAGAAATTTTAAAATAAAAGTTCGGTTTAACTCGAGGACATTGAGCCAGAAATACATTACTATTGTTCAATAGAATGTACATACTACTACTACTACTAAAATTATTAAAACTTTATTTGACTTTTTTAAGGAATAATCACACAACATTTCTTCCATGTTTTAATTTTAATGTTTGCAAAAAAAATAAATTAAAAATAAAGTTTGTTTCATTTTCAATAATAGAAAAATAAATTTAAATTGTTTTATGCCTTCATTTAATAACCAGAAAAATTTAAATACACAACACAGAGGAAAAATAAAAATTAATAAGGCTATTGCAAGAATAAATTTGAATAAATTAAGTTGTTTTTATGCATTCAAACAATTAGACATGCTAAAACCCAGAAATTTGGTAACAATAAAACATATGGTGAGAAAAAAATAAAGTAGGGCCCTAAACATGTAATTTTTGTTAAACTTTTAATAAATTGATGTGAAATTATGTAAGTTTAATCATTTTATTTAATTAGACATGCATTTTGATTTCTACAATTTATTTTAACCATTAAAAAGTAGTCCAGAAAAATTAAAATGGAAAAAAAAAATGGAATCCAGAAAAAATAACACAGAATTAGAAAAAAATAAATAAAATGGAATTTGGGAAAAAATAAAACTGATTTCATAGGGCCCTAAATGCTGCAGATTTTCTGTGGCACCTGTCAAAGGTCACACATGCTCATGCTTCAGAATAGCAGGTGCTGTATGGTACAGTATGTCTGCGCAGAGCGACCACACAGGCCGTCATCATCATACAGTGCTGTTTATGAGGGTTTATGACCACAAGTCTGTGTCTCATCGAGATCCTGGCCTAATACTTTAAAGGGATAGTTCACCCAAAAATGAAAATTTGATGTTTATCTGCTTACCCCCAGGGCATCCAAGATGTAGGTGACTTTTTCTTCAGTAAACGAAGATTTTTAACACAAACTGTTGCAGTCTGTCGGTCTTATAATGTAAGTGAATGGGAATCACGGCTTTGAGAGTCAAAAAAAAACACACACAAACAAAACCAAACTAAACCATGCGGCTCGTGACGATACATTAATGTGTAAAGACACGAAACAATCGGTCTGTGCAAGAAACTGAACAGTATTTATATCGTTTTTTACCTCTGATGCACTGCAATGTCTGAACTGTCCTGAGCGCGCGTCTTTGAGAGCCGGCACGTGACACGTCTTCTTCTTCTTCTTGCCTTACGGCGGATCGCAGACTTATAAGTGTATTACCGCCACTTAGTTTAGTTAGAGTTTGGTCATATGTTTTGCAGGGTGGTTTGTTTACATGCTCTGACGTGTTAAGCTGTGGTGCTCATACGGGCATCATCAGTTCAAATTTGGCTCGTACCATTTCCAGATCCCCACCCCCAATCACTTCCTATCGTCTTTTGACTGCTCAGAAAAAAGGGCCAACAAACCACCAACAGCATATGGCTTGGCTTCTGTAGAGCTGAGTTTTGGCACAACTTCAGCTCTGGCTGATATGAGGCAT